TACGCCAACTGCTGGTCCCAAGCAGCCTGATTTTATTATGCCATTGAAAAGCAGCTTTCAGGGCTAGGTGTGGTTGTGTGCACTGTGATCCCAAAGACTTGGAGATGCCAAAGCAGGAGGATGAGGGGCTTAAGGCTGGCAGGGACAGCACAGCAAGAGCCTACCTAAGGAAGCCAGGTTTGTGAGAGCAAAACACGGCAGAGAGCCCCACACGGCAGAGAGCCCGCACTTTAAACTTCTGCAGGTCACTATATATTTATGGCTGCAAATTGGTAAAAAGAGATGAATAAGAGAAAGATGATAATTATCTGTATCTCTCCCAGGCATAAACAGCCTAAATGACATTTCGATCGATGTTTCTAGACTTTGTGTCTCTCATTCAGTACCTTCTTACTCTATCTAGAGTGCCACGGTTTGGTCTGCGCCTCTTGTTATCTGTCTTATTTGCACTTCTTGCATGCTGCCTCTGCAGTGCTGGCCCTGGAGCAGGGTCGGCGTACCTGCTGGCACTGGCGTGGGTCAGGGCAGTGGCGCCACTACAGAGTAGCTGTTGTGTCTTTCTCAAGCTGGTAATGTCCTCAATAAAGGTTTAAGATTTAGTAATTTAATTACATCTTGGTCCTTGAGTATGTCATTTTAGTATTTTGTGCAATTAGAAGGTATAAAGCATTTCAGCCTACCAAAATATGATGGTTGTTCCTGTGAGCAGCACTGCCACTGAGTTGTGAGCCTAGTCAGCTGATTTCTTTGCAGAAAACCATTTTTTTAAAATTCAGATAACCGTTATTCAGACATGGGTATTTGGCAGAAATTTCTTCAAAAATTAAGTAAGTCTGTTCCTTCAAGGAAACAGACAATAGTTGTTACTGATGGTAAATTGTGAGAATTCATGCAAAAATTAGAATTTTGGGAGGTTTCTGCTATTGTGACCTTAACAGCTTTCTGATTTAAGGCTCTTCTGATGAGGCCTTCCCAAATGATGATAGGAGTGTGCTGACGTGTAACGCAGCATGTTAGCATTCGGGAACTCTGCGTAACTCACCTGCTGCTGTTTTCCACATGACCAGCGGATGCTGTTATATATCATGCTTGCGTAAAACATCCATTTAACATAAAAAAAAGACATACTTTTTCTTTTCCTTTTTAGAGGTTTTTGCCTTAGGGTATATGTGCTTGCTGGAGAGAGACACACAGAGGGAAAGTGAGACGACATCCTCCAGGGGAGATGGCCACACTGCAGTCCCTTCTCCATTCTCTTCCTAGGATATTGGGCATGCATGCACACATGCCTGGTGTGAGTTTCAAGCCACCAGGTCTGGGATTTGGACAGCGGATGGCCATGTGGGAGTCTACCAACATAACACTGTTATGCTACCTGCTGGGCCCTAGATTGATTTTTTTTAGTTTCAGTGTTTGCTGTTTTGTGTGTGTGCTCACCACAGAGGCAGGAAGTGAGAGAAGGTGAAAAGTCAGCGTCCATGGATGCCACACTGCCAGCCCTTTTATTTTTTTAAATAGGGCACATGCGCGCGCCAGAAAGACAGATAGAGACAGAATGTGAGAAATCACCCCCCAGGGGGGATGGCCACACGCCGCAATCCCTTCTCCATTCTCCTCTCAGGATCTTGGGCATGCATGCACACATGCCTGGAGTGAGTTTAAGCCACTGGGTCCAGGACTCGAACCACGGTCGACTCTGTGAGAGTCCGGCAACATAGCCATTGTGCTAACTGCTGACCCACACTGCCGTCCTTTCTCCATGCTCCTCTCCAGATTTTTTGGCATGCATACACACGTACTTGTTGTGATTTTCAAGCCACTCTTTCTGGGACTTGAACCATGAAGTTGGCCATGTGAGATCCAGTGCCTTAACCTCCATGCCATCTGCTAGACCTCTCAGTTTTAATTTTTAATGGGATAGGGGCCGGCAGGTAGTGTGGTGGTTAAGGGCGCTGCACTCCCACATGACTGACTGCTGTTCGAGTCCTGGACCCTGGTGGCTTGCTTTCTCTCTTTCTTTCTCTCTATCTCTGTCCTTTTCTGGTCAAGTAGAAATGATATAAAAGATTTTTCTAATGGGATGCATACTGTAACTTACACAAACTTAACTCTGGGTTCCTCAGTAATTTCTAAGAGTGTAGGGGAGTTCTGAGATCAGTATTTGCCACACTAAAGAATTAGGGGAACTAAATAGCGCTGTAGCTAGTACAGTGGTAATGTGTTTCAAGCTGCCTGTCGTTTTATATACATATTTATCTGTATACGTTTGTTTAGTGTCTGCACACCAAACTGATCTCAGGTGCTGACTGGAGATGCCTCGGTCTCAGCTCTCACACGGGTCATATGCTCTAGCAGAAGACAGGACTCGATCAGCAGTGTTTATGGCACGCATTATAGGGTAGGCATCTAGTCAGGACAGCTCACCGAGTTAAAGAATAACTGCAGGGACCAGATGGTGGCTTAGGAGTAAATGCAGTGCTTTCGCACCGGAGACCTCCCGAGTTCACTGGGCAAGTGCATGCAGACGCCCTAGGGCTGGCTGGAGGGGGCGGATGGTGGTGTAAAGACCCGGTTAGGGGTGCTGTCTCTTTTTCTCTCTCTTTCTGTCTTTCACTCTTGAAAGAAATATGTAGAGTTAAGAAAACTAGTAAGGTAGTCAGAGTTAGGAGGTGTGGTCGAAGCCAAGGAAACAGAGAGATGATTTGTCTAGATGAGAGAAATCGTGCTGCTTTAGAGGGCAGAAACCATGTCTTTGTAGAATATTGTGTGTCCAAGAGCCAGGTACTGTCTTGGCTTATAGTAGATTTAAAAAAAAAATATTCATTCATTTATTTTAATTTGATGAGAGAGAAACAGAGAGAGAGGGAGAGAAAGTGGGAAAGCAAGCCCCCAGGTCCAGGACTTGAACTGTGGTCGGCCATATGGGGGTGTCCAGCGCCTTAACCACCACGCCACCTGCTGGTCCCTCACAGTAGGTTTTTAATGCCTGTTTCTTAACATGTTGAATGACCACCAGGCAGGATTAGGAGAGCACAGAGAACTGTTAAGGCATCTGGGGAAAGCCGGGAGAGGAGTGTCTGGGAGATGGAGGAAGTTACTGCACAAAGGAAGGAGTCGTCAGAGCAGTTAGCCGGGCTGATTGTCACATGTTGCTGACATTCAAGAGTATTCATATTAACATTTAGGTTTGTAGATATTTTCCTATTTATAAATCTTTGAAAACTGTGTACTGACTCCTAACAGTGCTTTAGTGTCCCCCTTATCTGTGGGGTATGTATTCCAAGGCGCCCAGTGGATTCCTGAAGCTACGGATAGTGTTAAATCCTGTATGTCCTATGTAAGGGACTAGTGGGTAGGTGGCTCATAAATCGTGTATACACTGGCCAAAGGGATGATTCATGCCTGGGTGTGACGGAGCAGGATGGTGCAAGAGTTCTCCATGCTTCTTAGACACTGTGTAGTTTAAAATATATGAATTGTTTATTTTTGGAATTCTCCACTTAATATTTTCAGACTGTGGTTGACTTTAGGTAACTGAATCCACAGAAAGCACAATGGTGAGTAAGGGGAGACTGGTGAATCGCAAGACTTTCAATTTCTTATGTAATCCTGTGGCAGTCTAAATTAGCTCTAGCAGAGGATATGGCAGTTGATTTTCTTCAGAATTAGGAAGCCTCTATTTTATTTAAAAAAAATATTCATTTAATTTATTATTATTATTATTATACCTGCCAGCCCCAGGAAGCCTCTTTTTAAAAGAAATTATTTAATTTTATTTGCCAGTATTATTACTATTTTTAAAATTTGCTACAGAACATGTGTGCTCACCAGAGGGAGAGCGAGAGAGCAAGAAGGCGAGAAAGCAAGCTACCAGGTCTGGAACTCTAGCCATAGGTTGGCCATGTGGAAGTCCAGTGCCTTGACCACCACACCACCTGGTGGCCCTAGGAAACCTGCTTTATTTTTTTAAAGGATTATTTTATTTAATGTTTGTTTATTTATTTTAATTCACCAAAGAGGGACAGAGCGAGAAAGAGGAAGAGAGAGAAGGAAAGTGAGAAAGCAAGCTGCCAGGTTTGGGACTCGAACCGAGGTCAGCCATGTGGGAGTCCAGCACCTTTAACCACCATGCCACCTACTGGCCCCAGGAAGCTTCTTTTAACAACAAATCTGATATATTTTTATTTTATTTAAATGTTTCCTGGTTACATTTTTTTTTTTGGAGCAGTTTTTGCTGTAGGACATGTGTACTTGCCAGACAGGCAGAGAGAGACAGAGAGACAGAAAGCGAGAAATCACCCCCCGAGGGGATGGCCACTCAGCAATCCTTTCTCCTTCCTTCTCCTCTCGGGATCTTGGGCATACACACACACACGCGCCCTGCGTGAGTTTTTTTTTTAAAGACTTAATTTTATTTATTCATTAATTTATTTTAATTTGACAATAGAGAGATACAGAGAGAGAGAGAGAGAGAGAGAGAGAGAGAGAGAGAGAAAGAAAGTGAGAAAGCAAGCCACCAGGTCCAGGACTTGAACTGTGGTCTGCCATGTGGGAGTGTCCAGTGCCTTAACCACCACATCACCTGCTCGGCCCTGCCCAGAGTGAGTTTTAAGCCACCAGGTCTGGGACTTGAATCATGGTCGACAACATGGGAGCCCAGCGACATAGGTATTAGACATAGGTATTACGCTAACTGCTAGTCCCTTCCTGGTTACATATTTGAATAGATACCAAATATGGATACATTTGTAACCAATCAATAGTTGCAGTTTACGCAAAATGAAAATAATACAGTGAATATCACTAGTTTTACATAATCGATTTCTGGATCAGTTTCCCAGCAGTCGTTCTTCACTAATGTCTGTAGTAATAACTCAGGTGAAATAGTAGGGAACAATTGATAGGAAGAAAATTTAGTCTTAAGTTGTTTATTAAGTAAACTTTTAGTCTTTGTATATATAATTTTAAGTGGACTTAATTAAGATTCATTTGTATTTTAGAATTTTTCCAAGAATATTTTTGCAATTCTTCAGTCTGTGAAAGCCAGAGAAGAAGGGCGTGCACCTGAGCAGCGACCAGCCCCAAATGCAGCACCTGTGGTAAGAATGTTTCACTGCTTATGTAGTAATTTTAATGAGTAATTATTTCAGGTAAAATGTAGTTAGCTTACTTGTTATTGCTTGGGAGAACCACTAACCATTGTTAAAAATACAAATCCCTGTTTTCAGTTTGATGCTTTTCGTTTGTTTCAAAGACAGGATTTTACTATGTTGCAATCCTCCTGCCTCAACCTCTCAGGCTACTGAGACAGCAGGCACGTGGCACTGTGCCCCCTTTAGGGTGGCCTAGCCAGGCTGGGAGTTGAACCTGAGCCCCCCATGTCGTTCCAGCCTGCTGAGTGGCAGCATCAGCTGGTGTGTGCTGCTGTGCCCGTGGCCAGTGTGGGGCTCTTTTTGACATGATTACTGTCTATGGTGCCTTGGCGACTATACCTCCCTTGACCCCCAGGCCTGTGGCCCTTCCATTGTGCCTCAGTTTCAGCTGTTCTGAGGGCTGACCACCCTTCCTGAGGGGCTACCTAAGGTGCTTCCAAAGTAAATTTCACGTGCGATATGTAGTCTGTATTTAAACCCAGAACATACATACGCTTCAGTTTTGTTGAAAATTCTTTGAACTGTAGGTTGTCGGAAAAGTCATGACGCATTTTGCATAGAAAAACACGTCAGGACTTTTCCAACAACCCAGTACTTGTATATGATTCAGCAAAGGAAAAAATATAAACAGATAAAAATGGTTTCCGTTTTATGTAGAGTTTTTAGAGTTAGTAAAATTTGATAGTGTTAATATAGCCTTTTCAAGACGTGATGGTTTTACTTGTTCATGAAATCATGTTTGGAGGGACAGCATTATTTCATAAGGACACTTAGGTAGGCAGAGTGAAATTACTGTGCACATCCATTTTATTTCTACAGTTTCTCAGGGTTTTGCTTTTTGCTTTGGTGTAAGTATACTTGGGATCTTTTGCCCTTGATAAGAATGGTAATTGCCTTCCTTCCTCCTTTCTTCTTTCTTCTCTCTTTCTCTCTCTCCCTCTCTTTTCTTTCATGACCAAAGGGTATATTCATTCGCTAGAGAGAGAGGAGGAGAGGGAGAAGGAGAAAGGACCCAGTGCAGTCCCTTCTCCTTCATTTCTTCATCCTGTTTGGATTTTAAGCACAAATACAAATGTGTCCACTGTATTTTGCAAGCCACTGGGGCCAGGATTCAAACTGTGATTGGCCATGTGGGATCTGGCCCTCTTAATCACAGGCTATGGGATTGGCCCGATGGTAATTTTTTTTTAGCAGTAGACAGTTTCTCAAAAAGAAGCATCAAGTGTCCACTAGTTTACTCTTAACTTTTTGTCTTATTGGCTGTATAGTAAGAAAAGAAACTTTGAAAATGAAAATCTTTATTATAGTTTTAATTATAAGTAAGTAGCATTTTAAAATATTAACATAGAACTTATCATTTGTTTTTCGACAGGATCCCACATTGCGTACCAAGCAACCCATCCCCGCCGCCTACAACAGATATGACCAGGAAAGATTCAAAGGAAAAGAAGGCAAGTTGTTTATTTTTAAATTTTAAAACATTATTTAATGTGTATTTTTTTTAAAAAAATTATTTATTTATTTATTTATTTTTAGGGAGAGATTTTTGCTATAGGGCGTGTGCACTCGCCAGACAGACAGAGAGAGACATAGAGACAGAAAGCGAGAAATCACCCCCCAGGGGGGATGGTCACGCCGCAATCCCTTCTCCTCCATTCTCCTCTCGGGATCTTGGGCACGCACGCACACGCGCCTGGCATGAGTTTTAAGCCACCGGGTCCAGGACGCGAACTGCGGTCGACTACGTGGGAGTCCAGCGACATAGCCTTTATGCTAATTGCTGGTTACCTAATGGTATTTCTTAAGAGAGAGAGACCAATATCCTCAACAGAGTCTCACACTGCAGTTTCCCTACCAGCCCTTCCAGCCAGCAGGGCCAGGTGGGTGTGCCCAGTGTTCATAGGTTGGATGGGGAACTGAGTCTGTGATCTTCCACATGGAGCAGCATTACTTGTTAGTACATTACTGCTGTGCTGTCGGAGCAGCCCAAGTCGCTTTATTTATTATTTTCTTAAAATTTGCTATAAGGCACAGGGACCAGCAGGTGGCATGGTGGTTAAGGTGTTAACTTTCCACATGGCTGACCACAATTTGAGTCCTGGACCAGGCGGCTTCACATTCACATGTGCTCACTGCAGAGAGACAGTGGAGGAGGGAGAGAAAAAAGTGAGAAAGCACCCCCAGGAGGAAGACTGCACCACAGTCCCTTCTCCACTGTCCACTCGGGATTTTAGGCATGCATGCACATGCCCCTGGCATGTTTTTCAAGCTGCTGATTCTGGGATTTGAACCATGCAGTTGACCATATGGAATCTAGTTGCCTTAACCACTATGCCGCCTGGCTTGCCCCAAGTTGCTTGATTTTTATTTTCTTCCTATTGTGGTATTGCTCTTGAGAGGCAGGATAGCCTAATGTTTGAGAGCTAGCAAAGTCTGTCCCACTTTTGTTTTAAATAACGTTTTGTTGGAGCACGGCCATGCTCATTTGTGTATGTATTTGCTGCTGTTGCTTTCGCTGTGTGACAGAAGGCTGAGTTGTTTTGGCAAAGACCTTATTGCCTTCAAAGCCTAAATAATATTGTGTGGCCCTTTACAGAAAAAAATTGGCCAACTCCTGGTTAATTGAATAGATTTTGGATCCAAATAGCTGCGTCACTGTTGCTTTTTGTGTAAATTTTAATGTCACTTTAGTTGCATTCTGTCTCAGTATCTTCCTGTGTATAAATATACTACTCCTACTAGTAGTAGAAGTCCCTCTTAGGATTTTTGCAGGGGACCAGCAGTTAGTGTAATGGCTCTGTTGCTGGACTCCCATGTAGTCGACCACGGTTCGTGTCCCGGACCTGGTGGCGTAAAACTCACGCCGGGCACGTATGCGTGCATGCCCAAGATCCTGAGAGGAGAATGGAGGAGAAGGGATTGCGGTGTGACCATCCCCTCTGGGGGGTGATTTCTAGCTTTCTCTCGGTCTGTCTGGCGAGCACATGCGCCCTATAGCAAAAACCTCTCCAAAAACAAACAAAAAAAAAGGATTTTTGCAGGAATTAAATTGGTTAATAAATACAAAGTTCCTAAAACAGTGTCTGGTTTATAATAAGTTATACAAGTTGCTGTTTTGTTGTTGTTGTTGTTGTTTGAGAGATTTTTGTTATAGGGCATGTGCATTCACTGGAGAAACAGAGACAGAGAGACAGAAAGTGAGAAATCACCCACTCCATTCTCCTTTCAGGACTTTGGGCGCACATGTACCCTGTATGAGTTTTAAGCTGCCGGATCCAGGACTTGAGCCATGGTCAACCATTTGAGAGTCCAGCACCTTAATCCCTGTGCCACCTGCTGGCCTCTGCTGCTGTTATTATTTTTTAATGTTTATTTCTTTAATGAGTAAAAGAGAGAGACAGACAGATAGACATGCACAGACAGCCAGACAGTGCTCCAGCAGGATCTTGAGGCTGCAGTCTACCTCCAACCCCCATATCAAGGGTACATACGTGCTCAGTGACTCCAGGAGGTCTCTGGCCACTAGCGTGGAACCCTCCCTTGTGGGTCAGCCACCCACAGAAGTGTCATATTTTACCAGCGTGTCTCCTCTTTGGCTCTTGTTTGCTTTTAGTAGTGGTGGTTCTAGTTTTGCTGACTGATTTATAGATATAGGCTAGCCATCAACAGGGACGTTGCTGTAGCTAATCCAGGTCTCTAATGTACATGGCGAGAATGTGCAAAACACAGACTCAGTACCAGTGAGGACGCGCCCCGTGAGAGCCTGCCGGGCGCCTGGCTGACACATAGTGAAGCGTTTCTGTGCTAGCGAGTGGGACTGCTGTCTGTGCAGCCCAGGGTGACCTTGTGCCTTCTTCGTTCATTTGGACGTCGTCATGAGAATATGAGGTGGAAGCATGGAACTTTAACATTGGTGGCTTTTTTAGGTAATCGGAGATCTCCATTTAAGTTTCTTTAAAGGGTGTTTTACCTTGGCGTGATGAATTTTGTGTGCCGACTTCATTTACTGGTTGAAGGCACACACTGAATCTTGCCACAGAAAGACTTTGGCCATTCTTCTGTTCATTGCAAAGTTCTTGTGAAATGAATTATGTAAAGCCGGGGTTGGCAAACTTTAGCTCACAGACCAGATCTAACCCTCACAGGCCAAACTGGGCTGCTGCCATTTCTGTACACACAGGGGGCCCTCCATATCTGTGGGTTCCACTTTAATGCAGATTCAGCCAACCGGTGATTGGAAATATTCAGAAAAATGTTGGTTGTATTTGTGCTGAATATGTACAGACTTTTTTCCTTGTCATAATATCTCAAACAGTGTAGTATGATATATAGCATTTATATTGTATTTGGTATTAGATGTAATATAGAGATGATTTAAAGTATATAGGAGGATGTGTGTAGCTTAAAAACAAATACTGCACCATTTTATATAAGGCACTGGAACGTCCATGGGTTTTGGTGTCATTGGTGGTCTTGGAACCAGTCCTCTATGGACACCAGGGGACATCTGTGTCTCTTTATCTGGTTTTGCACTGCAACTGCGGAATTCAGAAGTGGTGACAGAGACTTTATGGCCTGCAGGGTGTGAAATATTTCCTCTGTGCCCCTTCAGAAAGGCCAGTTGGGATTTGTCCTAGAACTCAGATCGCTGTCTGCAACGTGGCTTTGTGCAGAATGTGTACCACGTGCTTTATGATTGTAGCTGGGGAATACTACCTCGTATGACTTGTGGACTTCTCATGATATCAGATGCTTTTAGTGGTACTGTCACTGATTAGTAACATGTAATTTGGGATAATAAAGTATTTTATTCAGTTTGATTTTTGAGGGTCATTGCAGAGGTAGTCTTTTTTTTTTGAGAGATTTTTGCTATAGGGCGCATGTGCTCGCCAGACAGAGAGAGACAAAGAGACAGAAAGTGAGAAATCACCCCCCAGGGGGGATGGTCACTCCGCAATCCCTTCTCCTCCATTCTCCTCTCGGGATCTTGGGCACGCACGCACACGCGCCTGGCATGAGTTTTAAGCCACCGGGTCCAGGACGCGAACTGCGGTCGACTACGTGGGAGTCCAGCGACATAGCCTTTATGCTAATTGCTGGTTACCTAATGGTATTTCTTAAGAGAGAGAGACCAATATCCTCAACAGAGTCTCACACTGCAGTTTCCCTACCAGCCCTTCCAGCCAGCAGGGCCAGGTGGGTGTGCCCAGTGTTCATAGGTTGGATGGGGAACTGAGTCTGTGATCTTCCACATGGAGCAGCATTACTTGTTAGTACATTACTGCTGTGCTGTCGGAGCAGCCCAAGTCGCTTTATTTATTATTTTCTTAAAATTTGCTATAAGGCACAGGGACCAGCAGGTGGCATGGTGGTTAAGGTGTTAACTTTCCACATGGCTGACCACAATTTGAGTCCTGGACCAGGCGGCTTCACATTCACATGTGCTCACTGCAGAGAGACAGTGGAGGAGGGAGAGAAAAAAGTGAGAAAGCACCCCCAGGAGGAAGACTGCACCACAGTCCCTTCTCCACTGTCCACTCGGGATTTTAGGCATGCATGCACATGCCCCTGGCATGTTTTTCAAGCTGCTGATTCTGGGATTTGAACCATGCAGTTGACCATATGGAATCTAGTTGCCTTAACCACTATGCCGCCTGGCTTGCCCCAAGTTGCTTGATTTTTATTTTCTTCCTATTGTGGTATTGCTCTTGAGAGGCAGGATAGCCTAATGTTTGAGAGCTAGCAAAGTCTGTCCCACTTTTGTTTTAAATAACGTTTTGTTGGAGCACGGCCATGCTCATTTGTGTATGTATTTGCTGCTGTTGCTTTCGCTGTGTGACAGAAGGCTGAGTTGTTTTGGCAAAGACCTTATTGCCTTCAAAGCCTAAATAATATTGTGTGGCCCTTTACAGAAAAAAATTGGCCAACTCCTGGTTAATTGAATAGATTTTGGATCCAAATAGCTGCGTCACTGTTGCTTTTTGTGTAAATTTTAATGTCACTTTAGTTGCATTCTGTCTCAGTATCTTCCTGTGTATAAATATACTACTCCTACTAGTAGTAGAAGTCCCTCTTAGGATTTTTGCAGGGGACCAGCAGTTAGTGTAATGGCTCTGTTGCTGGACTCCCATGTAGTCGACCACGGGTCGTGTCACGGACCTGG